CACAGTGGTATTTAGTAGAAGAATCTATATAAGTCTGCACAAAATGCACATTTCCCTGAGATTTACATGGTTATTTTTTAATTAAAATCTGGTTACAGGGGCGCCTGGGTGGCTCAGTTGGTTAAACGACTGCCTTCGGCTCAGGTCATGATCCTGGAGTCCCTGAATGGAGTCCCGCATCGGGCTCCCTGCTCAGCGGGGAGTCTGCTTCTCCCTCTGGCCCTCCCCCCTCTCTCTCTCACTCTCTCTCTCAAATAAATAAATAAAATCTTAAAAAAAAAATCTGGTTACATGCATACATATTTTCAACTTTCTTCCACAGGAATAAAATCTTACATATCCCCAACACAAACTACTACAGAGGGCAATAAAATTCTTCCAGTGTAAAGAAGTAAACTTTCTAACTTGAGAAAGTAGCCATAATAAACTAAAAAATGATATGTGAGACAGAATGATAATTATAGGAGCAAAAGAGAAAATATATATCCTTATAGAGGATATAACTTAATTATGGCAAACTACACCACGTAAATAGCAACAGCAACATACCCTCTTGGACAGAGCAGAATAGCTTGCAAAAAATTTAATCTGATGACACAAATTTGGTTTTTTAATCTTTTAGCCAAGAGACCCACGGGGGGGGGGGGGAATAATACGTATCTCAACAGTGACCTCTAGTGGACAAGTCTTAAAATGACGGTCTCAAAATGAAATTCTCTAAGACTGAAAACAAGCAGGAAAACATTTACAAAGCTAACCCTCCCAAACCACCATAAAAACCAGGTATGAGCTTACGGGGCCAACTGAAAAGACTCAGCAAACACTGGCTCAAAAGGCAGAGTAATCACAAAGGCAAGCACTGGAGCAGGGGGGCAGACACACTGGAAAACAGTCTTTGAAATCACTGCTATGTTCCCTTCTTTCAAAACACTGAGAGCAAGCAAGCCCCTGGGTAGGTCATCTCCGTCTGCTCTGACTTAGCCCAACTCATCACCTGCCAGTGCATTAATCAACTTGTATTAACTGAGGGCCGAGGTGATGTTCAACATGCTCTTGGTACTTTTGGAGGCGCAGGATACTAAAGAGCTTCAGCCAGGGCTCCTGACCTCAAGGAAATTATAATGCAATTAATTGCATGAAGAAATCAGTAAATAATTGCGGATCTTAAATACACAAAACTAACTTGCAGTGGAAGAGTAACAGGCACGGAAGCTGTCACAGCTCCAAGAACGAAAGGAGGCTTTACGGAGACGTGACACTCAGACGAGCCCATCAGGGTTGCCGGGCAGAAGGAGCATCCACGGGTCATCCTGACTCCAGCTCTCCCCACCTGTGGATGCTGAGCTGCACCGAGGGGTGCCATCCCAGCACATCACTCCTCACTATGAGAGGGACCCCATGACGAGGAACACGATGTGGACATCAATGCCCAGGACACCGGGAAATGCTTCTTTAGAGCACTCCGTCTCCAGCATGTGTGACGTGAGTCCATGAGTAGGAAAGAGAAGTGTGTGGTGGCCACATCTACTCAGGTCCCTCTACCAGTTAATCCCGAAACTCCAGTTTCCACACAGATGGCTTCACCTCAGGCCAGCTGTGTCCTCTCAGGACCTCCCTGCCATCTGTTGCTTTCTGTAGACAATTCCTGGGAAGCCACTATGTGCTCGGTAATAGGTGTTAAAGAAAAGTAAGAAATAAATGGTCCCCACTTTCAAGAAAGCTTAGGATCTACCTGGAGAGAGCGAGTAAACATAAAGCAGTAGGAGGACAAGCACATGCTTCTGCACTGGCGTTAAGGGTCTATGAACAATAGGAGTTTGGGGAAGAAAGATTTCCCCCTGGCCACGGCGGCCAGGGGAGCCTGGAGCAGAGGCCGAGGGGTGAGGCCGCACGGGTGGCAGGGAGGAGGCAAGGGAGCAGGAGTGCAGAGGCGGGGCTGGGCAGGGGGAGAGCCTGGCCAATCTGTCGGAAGCAGCACGCAGGGAGGAAAAGCCGGCTGGGGGTGGGGGAGGTGCAGATGGGGCAGGTTCTGAAAGCCAGGCAAAGCGCACCTTCCACCAGATGCATGCGGCTGTCGCAGGGCGAATGCCGTTTCAGACAGGACAGCCTAGTGGAAGAACCTCATCTTTACTCTGGAACCATTCCCTCCTGGGCCAGAAAGCCCCTCTGCTGGGTTGACCGCCAGCACCTGCCTCGTCAGAGCAGAAGGGAGGAAGGAAAAGATTCGCTCACTGCTCTGCCTTCCGCCTAAATACATCAGGGAGACACGTGCCCCTAGGGAAGTTGTTCCAGGCCCAGCAATGCCCCCCTCCCCTCACCCCTGCCTCCCCCTGCCCCAACTCTACCAAAACCCATGCACACTGCCCCAATCCCCCCTGGTTTAAATGTAAATAGTGCTGCTGCAGAATGATGAACCCCTAATAGCGACTGGCTTGACAATTTGGGAGTATTTTTTATGAACTCAAATACAGAAAGCTTTACGGATTTCTGTTGGCAGAATCTTGGGGAACTGAAGGATCATCTGCCCACTTCCGGCTTCCTGTGGTCTCCCTTGTACTACGCCGAGAGCACCTGTCCACGTCAAAACCACCAGCAGGGAAAGGAAGCCCACTCGTTGCCCCACGGTCCCGATGGCCCTGCTGATACTGACTCCAGTGTGTGGAGTCCCACGGTGACCCCAAATCAAGTCCCAGTCTGAGCCGGCCAGCCATTCATTCCATGAGCACACAAGTGGGAATGTCAAACGGCAGTGTAATTGTCAGACTAAGAGAAAAACACAAGCACTTTCTGTAAGACAAAAGCAGGGCTGAGGGGTTTCACTTCTGAGTGCCACGGGTTTTAATGCAGCATTGTCAGCCAGGCCCTATTAAAAACCACAGAAAGTGAAAGACCCTGATTACCATACAAAGTGACAGGAGGGTGTGCTCAGCCACTTGCATTCAATGCATATTTATATTTCCATCAAATGGACATATTTACTATAAATACTTGAAAAACCATAGCGAAGTCATTCATTTAAATGCCAGAAAAATAGTAAAAGATGCTAATTTGACCTTAGTGGAACAGACCGAGTGTCACTGACACAACTCACAATGGCTTGAAACAGAATTTACCAAGACGATTAATTAGAATTTACTGGATTAGGTCAAGAATGTCTCAAATAGAAAAAGGAAAAAAAAAAAAGAAAGAAGAAAAAAACAGGGAGGGAAGAAATTTGAAGTTTGAATCCATTCACAGCCAACCTCTTTAATAGCAGACACAATTTAACTTCGTTTTTATGCCTAAGTTAATCTCGTATTATATGCCTGGAGAAAGAAACTGATGCACTGATCCCTGAAATTTCTATCTTTGTGGACATGTGAAAAGAAATAAAAGACTGAAAAATCTGAAAGGCTTTTTTGTTTTGGTTTGGTTTTTTGTTTTAAAGAACAGATCAATTAGTGATGTAATATGAATGGAGCTTGTTTTGCTTCTTGTTTAAATGTACACTTTTTTCACTCTGCTGATGATGCAAATCTAACCACGGGAAGCTTGGTAATTAAATAGTTTTATGAACTGTGCAACAGCTTCAGGGACTTGTGCTCACAAAATCTTGGGGAATTCAGGGATCATGCTGTCCACCTTTCAAGACAAACTGCAAATCCCCTCTAAACTGGGATTATGGTCTCAGTGGACAAAAAGATCTTTTGTTATGAAAACCATGAAACTGGCAGCATGTTACCGGTTACGAAAACGATCACATGTGACCTCACGTTCCGCTTCTGTGACCACCGTTACTCATACATGACGATCGTGCCACTCTGCCTTGGCCTTACAAGTATGTGCTTTTAGTTAAAAATGAACTAAATCTGCCTGTTTCCCCACACACGAAGGGCCTTAACTGCCCTCTTAGTTCTCAATAATCAACAGCTCTGTGACACAGCCTCGAGCTGTATATAATGCACATACACACATAAATTCACGCGACAAATCCCTCAACATGACATTCCCCTCAATTTCACGGGACTCAGAAAGCGCCCTAACAAATTCTTGCCACATGATTAGAAAATCATTCAAGTCTGCAGGAAATATGGCAAGCACAAAAGAAGTGACAGTCAATTAGGAATGAGAAAGGAGAGTCGGTCCCTGTCATTAAAATCTTTAAAGTCATAGCTCTAGGGATAAAATGGCGTATTATCACTCACACGAGATATTTTCATAAAAACAACTATCAGTTCTCCTGTATGTTACCCATGCCATGACACCACCCAGGCTCCAGGGAATTCTTCTTGGGAACCAGACTCAAAAATGTGAAAAATGCAGATGCCAACTTACATAACTTCCATAATTTTGTGGGGGGTTTCCCCACCATCCGAGAAAGAGAGCAACAGTTAAATATTCTCCTTTGGGGGGAAGTACAGAGAAAGCCAGGAACTCTTACTCCGATATTTTTTAAGATTTTATTTATTTGACAGAGACACAGCGAGAGAGGGAACACAAGCAGGGGGAGTGGGAGAGGGAGAAGCAGGCTTCCCGCCGAGCAGGGAGCCCGATGCAGGGCTCGATCCCAGGACCCTGGGATCATGACCTGAGCCGAAGGCAGACGCTTAATGACTGAGCCACCCAGGCGCACCAACTCTAATATTTTTTAACAAGTTTTTATTTTTCCATGAAACACTTGTGAATCGCCTGGCAGTTGAGGTCACTGGAACACTTACCAGCCCTGAAAGGAACCATTTCCTGAGAAGCAACGTCATGTTCTTCCTTCAGTTTACACGTGAGGAAAGAATCCTCAAAACAGAGCGAAGTAAAAAAAAAAAAAAACAAAAAAAAACAAAACAGAGCAAAGTACAAAATACAGGAGAAGATGCTCTCGTGTATCGCACCAACATCAAAAAAGATTTTAGGTTTCCCCAAATAACACCTGTCATTAGCATCTTTAAAGGAAACAAAAGAATCAGCAGTATCACAATATTACCTACAAGTCAGAAACTGTGTAACCAACGGTAAAGTTAACTCACTTGTTAGCTTGTTGTGGCTGAGGACCAGCTGCGTGATGTGGGCTAAAGAGACTGCAAAAGAAAAAAAAAAAAAATCACACAGTCAGTAAATGTACCCAAATTATCCTCACACTCCTACAAGGTAAAGCATTAAATTATCTTCACAGGTTGAAGTGTTATTGCCCACAAAAAAAGAAGCAAGGTTTCATGTAACACTGTCTGTTAAATGTTATGCCAAATTAAGAAAAGTTATGCAATTAGCACAGTGGGTTAGAGCTAATGGGATTAATGTCAGAGAATCAAACATTACAAGGGCCGGTTAGCTTTGTGCTGAGACCCGCACCACTGGCCTAGCCTGAGCGATCCGTCTCAGTAACGAGCGTGGAGAGGCACAGCGCCTCACCTGTCCCAAAGGGAACATCATATGAAGACGGAAAGATCATGTCCCAGTAAACAGGGAGCACATCACTTCACCTGTGCCCACTGGCAACCCAGAAATTCTTCTACACGCTACCGAGTGACGAATAGGAAAAAACTTTCCCCTCGAATTATTTTGGTTGATGTTTCAAAGCACCGGCAGATTGCTCACCAGTTCCCAACAATCTCGTGGAGGTTTAAACGGAACAAGATGAGACTTGCTTAAAAGATGGTTTGTCCCAACTATAAAGAAAGACAGGACACATCCACAAGAAAAGAAAAAAAAAAGTCCAAGAAAAAAGCGACCTGCCTTCCATTTTGGGCTCTAAAACTTCGCAGGATGATCAGCATATGTTTTAAACAGTAAGTTTTTAAATACATATTTTACATATTAAACAGATTTAGACATTTTTTCCAATATTCTTTCTCTAAGAACATTATTATATTAATGCAGCAGAGTTTTTTCCCTAAGAAGTAAGAAGACAAAAATTTTTCTCAAGAAGGGTCTTTGGGTTGGATCCCAGCGTGTTGGGAAGAAAACGAGAATATCACCCTTGACCACAACTTTTGAGTAGGTTTCTTTTTTTTCCAGCCATCACAAAGTTATAGAACATTCAAAATGCGGTCCAGGCACCTGTTTTCCTGTCCCAACCTTTAGAGAGCACACGCTGGCCTGATGCCCCATAAAGTCAGAGTATTCCTCGGACGGCATCCTCCGACAGAACCCCAGCACGGCCACCCAAGCCCAGAACTTCCCGTCACACATCATCGCCACCTACTCCTCAGCCCTCACCCCAGTTTCACCCGATGCCCCAGTCACTTCTTGTAGAAAAGAACAATCCGGTTCACAATCCAGCTGCGTGCAGCTAAGGGGTCTCTCAGATCACCTCTTGTCCACACTTCTCTTTCCCTGCGTTTCACGACCTTGGCAACCGGGAAGGCTGCCTGCAGGCCAAATTATTCTATATTATGACCTCCGTGCAGGTTCGTCAATTTGTTTGTTCGCGGTTAGACTGCGGTTAAGCCTCTTTGGCAGGAATGTCAAGGAAACGTGGGGTTGTCCTCGATGTGTCCTCTCAGGTGGGCACAACTTCAGTTCGTCCTGTCGCTGACCATCTTCCCTTGATCTCTGACATATGCCAGGCTTCTCCACTGAACATGTATTCTTTTCCCCTTTGTAATTAATAAGCATTTGGAGAGAACGGGGGTTGAGGACGGGAGGGTACTTCAGAACTCTATAAATATCTGGCGCCACGTGTGGCTCACGATCCCCAGCCACAGCAATCTTTACCCTCATGGTACCTTTGGCAATGTCCGGCAACATTTTTGATTCTAACAACCATGGCCACTAAAAACCTAAGTTTCCCACACTGTGTCTGTATGAAACAGCACTGGTCTGAGACAGAGGCACCCTGAGGGGAGGGGGCCTGGGATGCTGCCTCACATCCTCCAAGGCACGAGGCAGCCTGCTCGCTCCTCTGCAGGAAGCTCCAGAGCGAGAAGCAGTCCAGGTGCTTCTGGAAGGAGAGTCGGGCAGGGCATAGTTTTAGCTCCTCAGGATCATCCAGTCCAAAACATCAAGACTGTTGCTGTTGAGAAACTGCAATTTATTTCTTTGTATCTGGATGGCCTTGTGGTTTCCTATTTCAGTCAGTGGATTATTATCTATCATTCTTACTTATGTTGGTGTTCCAACTGCCTGATCTGGCCGGCCGGAGCCCATCCACGCCGGCCCCGAGCCTTCTGATGGTCCCCACTGCTCCCTGAGCACTTCGCCACTTCCTGGGACAAGATGTTCAGGCTCATCTTGTCCTTTTTCAGCCATAGCCCCGAAATCACCATTTCTCTAATGAGCTCTGGTTCCTTTTTGTGGAAACTGGTATTTATAAGACAAAATCTGAGCACCAGATGTGCTCATTGCTATTTGGAGCTCAGTATTCTCAGCTCCTCTCAGTGGACAGAGCTTGAGAATACACACACACACACACACACACACACACACACACACACACACTCTCTCTCTCTCTCTCTCTCTCTCTCTCTCTCTCTCTGCTGATTTCGCTATATTATTGAAAACCCTGAGTTCACAACAATATCTCCAGCTCCAATACAACATCATACGGTTCATTCCAGTTTCTTCCCTCTCTGTATTTGTGATTCCCTTCTCTAACAGAACTCTGGCTTCCGTTACCTCTAACCTACTTACTATGTAATCAATAACCCTATATGTAACTGCATGGAATAGAGTTCTCTTACAGCTAGACCGAGACAGCTCTACGCTTATTTGCAGGGGCCCCTGGAAGTTTGGTACGGATTCTTGGTCAAGATCAAGATGAGGAGGCTGGCTAGCGATGTGTGATGTTCAGCTTAAAGTTGAAGACACCCAGGAAACCCCCAGGGCCAGCTTGTTTACACTGTTTAGGGTTGTGTAGACTGATGGCTTACACCTGGCTAAGTCGGGCATGAAAGACATCGCTGGACACTTCTGGCCAGGCTATCGGAAACTCACATTCCTCACACACATCTTGCTGGTTCATCATGTGGAGAGCAAACATGTCCTGAGCAAGGAAGAAACAACTCTGGGGAGCAGCCCCACAGAGCCTATGATGCCCCAGGGGCTCACCCAGGCTTCCTTAGGCCTGCTAAGCCAGGTCCTGTGCCTTTAATAACTCCGTAAGTGGGTAGGGTCTGTGGAACTGGAGTCCTTTCAACCTCTCCAACTTCAAAATCAATGCAGTAACCCATCTCCCCCACACCCCTCCCTCCTGCCGGGATACCTTCTCACTCTGCTCAGACTCCCCTGCCCACCAGCCCCTCCAGAGCGACACCCTTCTTGTCCTGCTTGGGCTGGGACCTCGCAGGCCAGGCTCCCACACCTGCACAGATGCTCAACTCACCTCACTCGGGCCCCCACCCGAGTTCTAGGTCACCAGAGCTCCCGACCCTGACCGCCTCTCTTTCTGTCCCGCCCACTGGCCTTAGGACTGACCCATCGGGAAAGGGGAAGTGCAAGGCAATGGGGAAGGAGGAGAGTATTCTCCTGGTTTTCAACAGAGTCACAACGGCAGCTTCTCACACGACGTTTAAGATTTTAAACACTGCAAAAGATCTTGCATGTTTTTATTTGCAAGAGTTAAGATTCCTTGTCCACCAATTAAGTGTTCCTCTATCTCTGAGGCAGACAGTCTGAGATGGGGGAAAAAAATATCTCAAAGAGCTACCCTCCTCTGACACCAGATGAAAAAGATTCACAGATGTGCCGGTTAAGATGTACAGTCACCATTCATGTGAGAACAAGACACAAGTTAACAGGGGTGCGCACAATGGCGGTCTCTCACTTACGCACAGACGATCCAGAGATTCCCGGTACCTTGTTGCTCAACCATCCCCAACACGTGGCTCCCACCTCATGCTTCAAGATGGCTGCCTGAGCTTCGCCATTGTATCTGCACTCCCCTCAGGAAGACAGAAAAAAGAACGCTTCCAAGAAGCTGCACATGGTAATTCCACTTGCAAACAATTAATCACCATTTTATAATCCAGGGAGGCCTCGCTTTGCAAGGGAGGCAGGGAAATGGAGTCTATATTCCAGGTGACCAGGCGGCAGCTAAAAAGTAGGGGTTTTACTACTGAAACTGAAAGTGGCAGACCACGAGCAACCTCACACACTAGCCCACCACTCCCTCCGAGTGTCACAGAAGTCAATCCTGATCACAAAAGAAAATGAACAATCCTCCCATCTCTGTCTTAAGTTTTCCTAAAATATCACAACTAACTCATTAGAAAAAAATTTTTTTGTTCTTTCTCCCAGCTACCATTCACGATGAAAGATTTAATTAGGGAAGGCTGGTTCTCTCCCACCGTTTCCTTGTATTCCTTCGACAAGCATTTGGCAGGAGAGAAAGTGACCAAGTTTCAAAGTTCTTTTTCTGTGTTGTTGCCTCACCTGATAACACTGCGAGAAGGCATTTTTCTTCCTCACTGTTGTTACGGAGCTACATGTTAAACGAGGTAAGAGGGAGAAAAAATTAGAGCGGTAAAGAAAAAGTTCATAAAAGATCTCTGAGAAAATATTTAGGGCAACAAAGGACTCCAGGCTAGGTCTGCGGGGAGGGCAGTTAAGTTGGACAGAATCAAAATCAGAAACTCAATCACAAAGCCTGGTAACAGGCAAAGGCTGAATTGCGACACATGTATTGATTGATACAACCCGCCACTCCCCTCCACTTGGCAATGGTGAGTTCATTGTGAGTCTTGTATGGAAACTGTGCTGTTAAAAAAGAAGGGAGAAAGTATCCACCAAAATAGAATGGATTATTTAAAAGCACAAAAGCTGCCATGGTCAAACGTGTTGGGAAAATGGAAGCAGGCTGTACCCACTGACCTGCCTTGCAAACCTTGATCACACACTGGGAGATCTTCCACCATGGGAATAACATACTTTCAAGAATGAGCAGCACCAGAAACTGTCAGGAATGAGCAGCACCAGAACAGTGAGAACAAACTGTTATTAAAATTCCTCAAGCAATATTAAACTAGGCTTTGCGTAGGCATTTTCAAAGGAGAACACATTTCAGAAATCAACCAAATAACTAAGAAGTTAAAGGTTACAGCGCCACGGCTATCATTCTGCCTCTGGCCTTTAGAACTGGTCT